TGGTGTGGACGGGGTGGGTCATTTAACATAGATCGGAAGAGCACACGTCTGAACTCCAGTCACTGCTCGACATCTCGTATGCCGTCTAAAAAAAAAAAAAAAAAAAAAAAACAGGAAATTCAGGAGGGAAAATGACAAATACAAATTTCAACATATAGATTTTAGAGTGATAAGAGAAAACACAAATGGAACTACCCTAATGAGAACAGGTTCTGGGAATAGAATAAAGATGGCAAGGTGAACACACTAAGCACGCCAGAGAAGAGGATAGAGGCAGAAGAGAAACATCCAGGCAGTGAACCTCAAGCTTGAGATTTCACTCGAGGTGGAAGGTCAGGAGGGGAGAGAGGTACAGCAACAAAGGCTGGAGAGGGTGGATCCTGACAGTGAAGGATGCAGGCTGTTTTCAGTAGCCATTATTGTAACAGGGTGGTCCCCCAGGAAAGGGGAGGTTCCAGGTTCCCTGCCCCACGCAAAGGAGGGTGGAGCTGAACAGGGAGGAGAAGAATCTAGAGTGGAAGAGGAAGAGGAAGGAAGCAGGATGGAGAGCCAGAAGGAGACCTGAGGAGGCTCTTGGAGCAGAGAGACAAGTGAAGAAGCGGCTCTTGTTTCTTGGTCCTGGGCTGGTTGAAACAGATGTTAGTGAGAGATCCGTGGGGAGGTTCACTGTGGCAGCATTTATCTGGATTTTGATTTTGCAATCTTCCTCCCAGGCTTGTCTGGCTGTTTCTGACCCTTTAATATGGGTCCCCGCCAGAAGGTGCTATAGACATGTGGTGGGCTTTAAGGCCTTGCTTTGGGCCACTCCCAAAAGTCTGGGTGGACTTTTAACCACGAGGGGATGAGTAACTCCAGGGGGTGTTTAATTTAGAAACTATTCTTTGTCTTCTCTGTATTGCACACTAATAATATTAACGACCTTTCCATTAAAGGTCTTAAATGTTCTGCCCTGATGCAGTGAATGGCAGAACCTATTTACAGAGGGCAGGTTTGGGAGTTCAGGCGTGCTCCTCTCACTGCCTGTAACATTATTACTGCATTTTCAAAACAGAAAGCTGTGACTCTCCATCTCAGTCTGTAAACCAAAGGCCTCCAGAGAACACAGTGGAGGAAATGGCCTGCATCCCAACTCCTGGGAACACAGGTTCTCACTCCTGACGATCTGCCAGGGACAGAGCACTGTTGGGACAGCCATTTCCTTAATGCTCAAGTGGTTGTGCCATCCCTGTGCCAGACACTCAGCTGCACACCCAATGTCAGCTCCCTCCTTCTCCTTTGTGAATGCAGCCTTAATCACATGGGCAAAGAATCACACATCCCCATGTGAGAAAATCCCCCTCTAAGGGGAGTGGACCCTTAGATACTGTCTGCCTACTTAGGTGTAAACTGGAGATTACTGGGGTCAGGGGAAGGCATCTGCCCTCCCTTGTGGAAGGTCTATTTCTGCAGCTAAACACATTCCTCATTATTCCATCATCCTTTACCTTTTCAGATCCACAGTGGTGACATTGAACACGACTCCTTTCAGCCAGAGGATCATAAAGAGACGCTGAGAAAAAGGACAGTTGCCGATGCTTTCCCCATCAACTCCAGCCTAGAATGAAGACAAGCGGAGTCCTGAGTTGGCATGTGCATATTAACAAGAAGAAATACAAACGTTACAGCACCCAAACATCAGTCTGAGGAGAACGGACTTCATCCATGTCCGACCTCACCTCAAAAAATCCTCTATAATTCATCGCTGTCTTCCTAATGTCAAGCCTAGCCAAGGTCAAGTGTGCAATGAGCTACACGGGGGTTTCCAGCATGGAAATTTCATAGTTATCACTTTGAAATCATAGAAACTTAGCAGCTCAGGGTAAAAAGAGAATTCAGATATCACAGTGTACAACTTTTATACCTTCAAGTAATCATCTAGTCTATGTCTAAACACCTCTACCAACCTGTAATTTATACCTCTTTTTCAAAGTAGCCCATTCTAAGGATAGGGAAGCAATTAGAAAGGTTTTCCTTTAGATATTGCTAGTCAACATATGTTCCTCTGTAGTTCACCTTCATCTACTCTTTGATCCTTGCTTCATGAGGATGTTATGAGTCCAGAATTTGACTCCATCTTCCTATCAGTAGACTCAATAATTCAATCAGTTTCCACTTGGTTCTTCCATGTTACTAGGCATTCATTTTACATTATCTTTTACTTGAGAAATATGTATGGGCTGCCAGTTAAGGCACTGGAGACAATAGCACAGGGGATTCAAAGATGCACTAACTCAAGAAGTTGATGGCCTTCTGTAGGGTGGGTGGAGAAGACAGAAATGGGTATATGACATAACAGCGTGACTGAGTGTTTGTGTACCTCTGCTCATTAAAGTCCCTGCCTCAAAGAGTATGTCTTTTTTATAAACATCTGAAATGAAAATTTGGATTTACTTTTCAGTGGGCTGCAAAGATATGAATTTTATGGAATTAATTTTCAGCAAATACACAAGCAAACAAAAAGATTGGGGAACTGATCATGGGATAATTTATTTCCACCAAGAGGGTTACTGGTCCCCACCTGGCTCGAGTGGCTATTGGTTCCCTCTGGAAACTAGGGCTCTGCCAAGTGGTGGAGACACCCAGGCACCACTGACAGGGAGGGCCTAGCAAGTGAAAACCCACAGATTTACTAGTAAAGCTGCAAACCAGCCAATCAACACGCTGGGGAAGGGGTTCACTCAGATCTTTTATTTTGGAGGCGATGGAGAAAAATGTGCATCCCAAAGCTCAGCCCATTATTTCCCCACTGGAGGATTATTTTCCCCCTTCAAGTTTCTTTTGCAGTGGTTTTGAATGAGGGAGCAGTGATGCCTTCTTTCTTATGAGAGAACCTAACTGTGTGCTTATTTCTATCTTGCAAATTGCTGCCAGCAGAGGCTCAGATTTATAATGGAAAAGTGGTGCCTTTGACAGTACTGGTTGAAGGTAATTGCTATGAAATTATAGTTATTTTACCTCTCTCTTAACTACACCAAGCACCCCATTCCTATTCAGTTAGTACTTTTCCTCGCTGCTTGAAACAAACCCACCTGTCTATAGCTGAGACACCATGGGCTCTCTTACATAAATTTGAAAGGCAGCAGGGCATGACGTGGGCACCACCCCTGCCCACAGAGAACAAGTTACTGGTCACACCACACTCACGCAGACCACTATTAATTTAATAATAACTTGGTGCTAACCTTGAGTTTGTGATTTCAGTCCCTAAGACCTTCCCAGGAAGTACTTAACAGGTATCTGGCTGTTGGCCCTTAAAGACAATAGAAATTTTCTCCAGGACTGGTTATAAGGTAAGTGACAAGTGGAGAATTAAAAACAAAGACTTAGGTAAAAGCCACACCTACATTCTGTAGATGTTTTTACCTCTGGTGCTAAGGGAGAGACAGAAAGGTGGGACTAGTAAAATTTTGGAATTCTTATTCACTGAACAACAACAAAACCCTACAGTGATAGTAAAGTTTGTAATAGCAATGGTCTCTGTTGTTAGGTATTGTCTAAGTACTTTACATATATTATCAACTCATTTCTCCCTATGAGAAGTTGGATATTATTTCCCTTTTACAAATGTGGAAACTAAGACAAAGAGAGGGGAAATAACTAACCAGAGGGTGGGGGGAATTGAAGCTAGGTGTTCTTGTTCCAGACCTAGCTCCAGATCTTACTCCAGAGCCATGCAATAGAGTCATATGCATATGACTCTTTAGTCCCACCCTTTAGTCCATGTACTAGATGGGGAGAGAGTGACAGCTTTCATAGCTTGTGACACTTGCATTATTGTCTGAAATTCAAATTCTAGGCCTATTAAACAAAAATTGTCGAAGAACTAATAGAAATAAAATAAGGATACTACTATTTACCCTTCTTGTCTTTGCACCCTTCTTTCAGCTTTTCATTTATCATGATGAGACTACAATACGGTATCTACCCTCTTAAGAAAATTTTAAGTTGTAGACTACATTATTTTTTACTGTAAATATGATTGTTGTACAGCAGCTCTCTAAAACACATTCATCTTGCTAACCTGAAATTTTATTCCATTGATTAATAACTCCCCATTTTCTCCACCCTCTGCTCCTGAAATCATTTTTCCACCCTTTGATTCTGTGACTATGACTATTTAAGTTCATATAAGTGAAATAGTCGTTCTCTTTCTGTGATTGACTAATTCATTTAGCATAACAACCTTGAAGTTCTTCCATGTTGTCAATATTTCTGAATTCCCTTTTTTATTACAGTTTTGTTTTATTAGTTTTAAAGATTTATTTATTCATACAGAACTGGGGTACAAGCCAGAGATGCAGAATGGTAAGAGGATTCACCAGAGACAGAGTAGGGAGCAGCAGGTGAGACAGAAGAGGTCTGCTGAACCATGTGGGTCACCTCCAGGGCCTGGGGATCAAACCTGCACTGAAGCGGCTGCAGCTAGCTAGCAGTGCTGTGTCCTAACCCACTGTGCCACCAGGGAGGGCTCTCCCCCCTTTTTTAAGGATAAATAGTATTCCATTATGGGTCTATATCAGTTTCTTCATCCAAATTTGCCATTCATCAATGGATATGCGTCTTTTCCACATCTCAGTAACTGTGAACAGTGATCCGTAAACACTGAAGTGCTAATTTCTCTTTGAGACCTTGTTTTCAATTATTTTGGATGAATACCCAGAAGTGAGATTGATGACATATTAATTCTATGAATTATTAATTCTATTTTTAATGTTATGAGGAACCTGTATACTCTTTTCTAAAATAGTGGCCACACCAGTATGCACTCACAACAGCTTACAGGGTCCAATTTTATTTCCTTGCTGACACTTATCATTTGTTTTTTCAATCATAACCCTCCTAACAGGTATGTAGTGATACTACCTTGTGGTCCTGATTTGCATTTCCATGCTGATCAATGAACCTGAAACTTTTTTCATATATATGTTAGTCATCTTTATGCTAATTTACAGACATGTATATTAAGCCCTTCATCCTATTTTCAATTGGGTTGTTTTTACTATTAAGTTGGTCAGTTTGTTTCTCTCTTTCACCACTCACCAGTCCTATGGCTTTTATAAACCATTTGTTAAACTCATGAATGAAGATGAGGTGGCCAATGTCCCTCACCACAATGCTATTGTGCCATGAGCCAAGCATGCATGCGTAAGGCCACCAGGCAGCTATGACCCTAAAGTACTTCCTAGATATAGCATATAAAATATGAACTGGTGGAGGGAACTTCATGGGAACTATGCCCGAGATGAAAAAGCACACATTGTACAAAAGTGAAAAATGATGTTTAAAATACAGA